TGGCCACTGCACTCCAGTCTGGGCGACAGAGTGAGACTCCGACTCAAAAAAAAAAAAAAGAAAATCCTGCCTCCTAACATTCATCTCACTGGCACTGTCTGGGTCTGACTTCCCTACTGGACCCTCCATAAGTCTGTCCACTTCGTTCCTGGGTTAACTCTTGGCCTATAGCAAATGCTTAATAAAAGTGTTCTGTAACTAAGTGTGTCTAGGTCCTGAGAAGGCAGGGTAAGGGACTCCAGAACACAGGTGGGGTTAAAGCTAAGCTCCCTGCTCAGCCAAGATAAGGCTGGGTGAGTTTGACATCTTCCTGCATGAGTTCTGAGAGGTGACCATCCGACACTCAGCAGGACTGCAGAGGCATGGCCAGGTGTGGGGGCTCACACCTGTAATCCCAGCACTTTGGGAGGTTTGGAGCCCAGGAGTTGGAAACCAACCTAGGCAATATCGTGAAACCTTGTCTCTACAAAAATCAAAAGATTAGCAGGACGTGGTGGCACGTGCTTATAGTCCCAGCTACTTGGGAGGCTGAGGCGGGAGGATCACCTGAGTCCAGGAGGTTGAGGTTATGATGAGTTGTGATCGTGCCACTGTACTCCAGCCTAGGAGATGCCAACTCAGAAAGATAAAAAAAAAACAAGAACCTGCAGAGGCAGGCCTGGTCCTTCCCCAAAGCCTGATACTGACTCGGAGGCTTTGGGGGAAGGGTGAACCCTGGCCTAGGGCCTTCAGAGGGAGTGAAGACTTCCTAGAGTGGTGGCCTAGGATGCTCCCCCTCCCCACTACTCCCGTTTTTTATCACTGACTAAGGTGGCCTGGAGTAAAAGGCCATGGGCAGGGCACCTGAACATACAGGCTGCGGTCTGGCTCTTCCATGTCCAGATTAACCTCCTGACCTTGGGCACTTAATCCCTGTGGGCCACCAGTTTCCTCACCTGTGAAGTGGAGGGCTGGCCCAGCTACCCTACAGGGGGATGGGGCTTTAAAACGCCGTGAGTCCATAAGAGGGGACACAGGCAGTCCCCATCCAATTCCCAAGCTCAAGATTTTGAGCCATTCGGGAAGGGAGAGAAGAGATTGACAGTGGGCACGGCACGTGTCAGGACCAAGCGGGAGGACTTAAAGCTTGTCATAGGCAGTCAATAAATATCTGTTGAATGAATGAATGGTGTGAACAGGGCAGGAAGGCACACGAGGGAAGCACAGTCAGGATTCAGGCAGATTGGGATCAGAAAGGCAACCTTCTATTTCTCAGCTCTCGGCGTGACAGTGGTGCTGATGTTCTACCATGAGCGTTTTACTCCTCATTTGCCCACCCTGCCGCCCTCAGCACCCTCCCTAAAAGGTGGGATACAGCCGGGCTCGGTGGCTCAGCCTGTAATCCCGCACCTTTGGGAGGCTGAAGTGAGGGGATTGCCTGAGCCTGCGGGTTCCAGACCCGCCTGGGCAGCGAGACCTCATCTCTACAATAAATCAAAAAATCAGCCGGGCGTGGTAGCGCACGCCTGTAGTTCCGGCTAATTGGAAGGCTGAGGCGGAAGGATCGCTGGAACCCAGTAGGTCGAGACTGTGGTGGCCGCTCCAGTCTGGGCGACAGAGTGAGACTCCAACTCAAAAAAAAAAAAAAAAAAAAAAAAAAAAGGTGGGATATAGTAAGCTGGCCTTGCCCCAAGGCCCTGGCCTCACCCATACCTTTGAAGCCCTTTGCGGCTGCCTCAGCAAGGGACAGTGGGGCTGGACCCTCCCTCTGAGCAAGACCAGAGGGATCCTTCTAGTACCTTCTCAAAGGGTTCAAACGAGAGGCTCCTTTCCTTCCGCCTTCTGTCACATCATTGAAGATGAGCAGAGGTGTAGCTGAAGAGGGGACCAGCTGGGGCAGTGGGGCATGGAGTGGCCACATTCTGAATGACCCAAGAGCACTGGAACTGTGACACTGTCTGAGGAAACCCTAGCAAGACACCACAGCCTTATCCCTAACCCCAGGTCTTCTGCAGGTGGGCTGAGGTCCTCCCCAGGGCCGGGCCAGTGAGCCCGAACTTAGCTCAGAGACCTTCTGGAAGGATGGATGGTGCTGGCTCCAAGTGTAGGGAACACAGGCTGGAAGCCTCCCTGCCCTGGCCCTGGCCCTGCCCCTCTGGTTTTTGGTTTGATGTCAGTCTTTCTGCACAGGAAGTCGGGACAGTGGTGGTGGTCTGTCCCACTAAGAAGGGGGGGGGTCCCAGGGCTGACGGAGAGGCCCTTTAAGGCAGATAAATTGTGCTTTACAAAGACACCAATGAAAACACAAACAAACCTACAAACAAACAATCAAGACAAATCTCAACAAGTCGAGAAGGGCAGTGAGATCAGGAGGGCGGGACGGGTGTTGGAGGCCGGGCGAGGGGTCCAGACAGGGTCCTCAGGGCAGGCTGGCAATGTCTCTCTCTGGAGGGGGGCCAACTGGCTTGGGGCTGCTCTCATTGGCTTTTCCTTCAAACATCATGACTCTGGTTTGGAGATGGAGAAAAGGAAAAAAAAACAGGATTAGGACTCCTTCCCTCATCCAGGGAAAGACCGTCCCAGCCTTCATGTCAGCAGGGTGCTCGATGGAAAGCCCTCGAATCTGTTCCCTAGTGGCCTTCTTGAAGAAACCCAAGACAGCACCCATGAGGAAGAGGCTGCCAGTTCCATTATACAAAGGAGAAAACAAGTACAGAGTGGCAACGTGACTCCTCAGAACCACACAGGCTGTCCAAGGCAGAGCAAGAATGAGACTCCAGGCCTCTGACTTCTAGGTCAGCCTTTCCCCTAACCACGTCACCTGGAGGGGGCTGAGGAGTGAGGCTGGGCCATGGCTCTGCTCAAAGCTCCATTAGATCTTCAAAAACCTCCCACTGCTCTGAGAGAAAAGTCTGGGGAGCAGAGGGTAGGGGCTCAGCACATAACCTCTGTGGCAAACAGCCTGGAGTCAAATACCAGCTCTGCTACTTCAAGCAAGACTCTCAACCTCTCTGACCCTCAGCGTTTTTGCCTAGGAGTGGGAATCCTGAGCTCGTGAGCTGGTTATGCAGCAGCCTTCAGACTCAACAAGGTCTTTCATAAAACAGGACAGGTATATTTACCATCATACTCTAATCTCATTTCATAAAAGCCAAGTGAGCAACCTTTTCATCCGTGACGCTAAGAATCTCCAGGAAATTGCTCTAATGCTTTTCAGTGGGGAGGCACTTACAAGGTGCTACCAAACTAGGTGTTTGCCATTGGTTGGATGCTAGGCTGCAATCTTTTTTTTTTTTACCCCACTCTCTGATTTTTTTTTTCTTTTTAAAACTCCTAGGCTCAAATGATTCTCTGCCTTGGCCTCCCAAAGTGCTGCGATTACAGGCATGAGTCACCATGCCCAGCTTACACTGGAGTCTTTATGTCATTTCACTAACCCTCAGGATGGTACTTCACAGAAGACATATATATCATCCTCATTTTACAGATGAAGAAACGGAGGCTCACAGACCTAAAACGACTTGCCCCAGAATCATTTCGGTAGCAGGTAATAGCATCACAATTAGAACTCTGCCTCCTTTAGAGGCAATTTTTGACTCTCTTGTCTGCTCACAACAACCCCATGAGGATAGTAGAGCTGTTTTACAAATAAGGAAACTAGATGGGCACAGTGGCTCACGTCTGTAATCCCAGCAATTTGGGAGACCAAGGCGGGAGGATTGCTTGAGTCTAGGAGTTCAAGACGAGTCTAGGCAACATAGTGAGAGACTTCATCCTGACAAAAAAATTTTAACTGAGCCCATGGGTTCAAGACCCGCCTGGGCAACTTGGCGAGACCTCATCTCTACAATAAATCAAAAAAACTAGCTGGGCGTGGTAGCGCGTGCCTGTAATTCCAGCTACCTGGAAGGGTGAGGCGGAAGGATCGCCAGAGCCCAGCAGGTTGAGGCTGCGATGGCCAGGAGCGTGCCACTGCACTCCAGTCTGGGTAACAGAGTGAGACTCCAACTCAAAAAAAAAAAAATTTTTTTTTAAATTAGCCAGGTGTGGTGCATGCCTTTGGTCCCAACTGCTCAGGAGGCTGAGGTGGGAGGATCGCCTGGACCCAGGAGGTCAAAGCTAAGATGAGCCGTAATTGTGCCGCAGCCTGGGCAACAGAGTGAGAACCCAGCTCAAAAAACAAATGAGGGAGCCAGGCTCGGTGGTTCAGCCTGTAATCCTGTGCCTATGGGAAGCTGAGGTGAGTGGATTGCCTGAACCCATGGGTTCAGGACCCGCCTGGGCAACTTGGCGAGACCTCATCTCTACAATAAGTCAAAAATTAGCTGGGCGTGGTAGCGCGCGCCTGTAGTTCCAGCTCCTTGGAAGGCTGAGGCGGAAGGATCGCCGGAGCCCAGCAGGTCGAGGCTGCGGTGGCAGGGAGCAGCCACTGCACTCCAGTCTGGGCGACAGAGTGAGACTCCAACTCAAAAAAACAAAAAACAAACAAACAAACAAACAAAAACAAATAGGGAACGAGGCCTGGTATACTGATCACCATCGTCACTACCACCACCACCACTATCATCATCACAGTTGCTACTTGCTGAGCCAAGGTTCTACCAGGCTAAATCCCCCCGCAGGGCACATATTAACATGATCATTGGCCAGCTAAGGAAATAAGACTCAGGAAGATTAAGTACCTTGCCCAGCAGGTCACACCACGAGTCACCCACTGGCTGGGAAATGGCCGAGGCGCCCTGAATGACCTTCCATCAGAGGCCCCAGGGGAGGCGAGGGGTACTCACAGCTTGAGGACAGCTGACCGTTTTCCCAGCATCACGTTCACAAAGTCTCGGTAGGAGATGGTGTCGCTGACCCCACCTGTCACCTCCGAGATCATCTTCTTCATCTCCAGGTGGGTCTTGGGGACCCCAAGCTTCTCCATCATCCTCTTTAAAGACATCAGGTCTGCCAGAGGAAAGGAAGATTTGTGGAGTGGGAACAGGTTACTAGGGTCTCGCGCAGCAGGGGGAAGGCTCCACTCTGGCGCCTGTGCCCAGGAGCTTGGTGTGGGATCCTCTCCCTGGAGCCTGCAGTCAAAGATGTTTCTCCTCCAGGGAAGATGAGCTCATCCTTGCTCTCTTTGGAGGCAGTAGAGACTAGTGGTTAGGAACCTGGGCTTCCAGAGTCCGAAAACCTTGCATTGAGCTCAAGTTTTGCTATTCCTGGCTGTGGGACCTGGGGCAAACTACTAAACCTCTCTGAACCTGCTTCCCACCAACAGTGGATCAGACTGATGGGATCATTCAGAGAGACAATGTACAGAAAACACCAGCAGAGTAGGTGCTCAGTAGGAAGTCATTATTGTTTTTTTGCTTTTTGGGTTTTTTTCTGAGACAGGGTCTCACTGTCACCCAGGCTGGAGTGCAGTGGCACAATTATAGCTCACCACAACCTTGACCTCCTGGGCTCAAGTGATCCTCCTGCATTAACCTCCCAAGTAGCTGGGGCTATAGGCACTCACCACCACGTCTGGTTAATTGTCCTATTGTTTCTGATACTATTATTGTGATCTCTGATGTTCCCTGTGGTTAGGGAAGGCTGTGTGCCCACTCTCCTGCTGACTGGAGAGTTACTGCCCAGCGAGGTGGGCCCAGGGAGTTGGTCCAATCCTGGGCATTGAAAGTTACTCTCAGGCCGGGCACGGTGCCTCACGCCTATAATCCCAGCACTTTGGGAGGCCAAGGTGAGAGGACTGCCTAGGTCCACGGGTTCAAGACCAGCCTGTGCAACTCGGCAAGACCTCATCTCTACAAAAAACAAAAACTTAGCTGGGCATGGTGGTTCATACCTGTAGTTCCAGCTACTTGGAACACTGAGGTGAAAGAATCACCTGAGCCCAGAAGGTCGAGGCTGCGGTGGCCATAAGCGTGCCACTACACTCCAGCCTGGGCAACAGAGTGAGACGCCAAATTAAAAAAAAAAAAAGTTACTCTTGGCTGAGTGCAGTGGCTCACGCCTGTAATCCCAGCACTCTGGAAAGCCAAGGTGAGAGTACTACTTAAGCCCAGGAGTTTAAGACCAGCCTGGGTAACATAGTGAGAACTTATCTCTACAAATAATAATTTTTTTAAAAATTAGCCAAGTATGTACCTAACCCTGACTTGTATCTCACATCTTTATAGCAAAATAAAGTAAAAAAAAAAAAAAATTAGCAAAGCATGGTGGCACACACCTGTAGTCCCAAGTACTTGGGAGGCTGAGGTAGGAGGACCGCCTGAGCCCAGGAGGTCGAGGCTGTGAGGAACCATGATTGTGTCACAGCACTCCAGCCTGGGTGACAAAGTGAGACCCGACTCAAACAAAGAAAAAAGGTCACTCTCCTGGGTGTCAGGCGGCAGGCAGCTTCTCCCCACCGACCACTCCCACCCTGCTGTCCTAGGACTCCACCTCGGCTGGAAGGGAGAGGAGGCCAAAAATATCCCGGGGAACAGGAAAACCAACAAAAGAACAAAATTCAAGAAAAACAAGGGAGGCACCAAAAAGTCACTGCCTCCCAAGGAGGTGCTGTCTGGGACCTGCCAGCTCCCACCAAGATCTGAGACAATTTCCTGTGGATTGTTCTTCTGTGAACAATGGGTCAGTGAAGGATGGCGGGAGCGTGGGGTGGGTGGGGAGCCGTGGGGAGCTGGGCAGGGTGGGCAGGACTGCGGCCAGGCCCGAAGGTGCCAGGATGTCCGGACTTTTCAAAGAGAACTGGGCAGCCTTCTCCAGGAAGGGGTGACAGAGCTCTACACACGCTGCTAGACTCTTAAGTTGGCAAGAAGTTTCTGGAGGACAGTCGGGCAAGATGCCTTAAAAGTCTTCGACCCACAATGACTCCTTCTTGAGATTTACTCTAAAGAAACAGCCAGTAGCCGGGCTCGGTGGCTCAGTCTGTCATCCCATGCCTTGGGAGGCTGAGGTGAGTGGAGTGCCTGAGCCCGTGGGTTCGAG